GGCTATGTCCCTGGACTCCCATGTAGCTGACCGCAGTTCAAGTCCTGGACCCGGTGGCTCACACTCTAGCCAGGCGCGTGGGCATGCGTGCCCAAGATCCCGAGAGAAGAATGGAGGAGAAGGGATTGCGGCGTGACCATCCCCCCTGGGGGGTGATTTCTCGCTTTCTGTCTCTATGTCTCTCTCTGTCTGTCTGGTGAACGCACGCGCCCTACAGTGAAAATCTCTCCAAAAAAAAAATAAGAGGAAAAAAAGATGAAGTGGGGGACCAGATGATGGTGCAGCAGTAAAATGTGAAACTCTGTGAGGCAATGCCACATGGGAAGGTACCCAGTTCAAGTCCAGAGAGCTCCCAGAATACACAGGACATGTGCTTACCCATGATCCAGGGCAGGCTGAGGGCTGCAGGTGGATCCCGACTCACGTTCCTGTTAGAGACGCGTCTCCTCTCTCCCTCTCTCTCTCCTTCTCTCTCTCTCTCTCTCTCTCTCTCTCTCTCTCTTCTCTCTCTGTTTCTTTCTGAATATATATATACACACACACACATATATATATAATTTTTTTTAAGATGACATAGGATTAGATGAAGGAAGGTGAGGAGAGGCATCTCATTAAATGGAACCGCAGGCCACAAAGCTTCCCAAAGCTGAGGTATAGCAGAGGCATTGGCCCTCACAGATGTCCTCAACAGACACATGGGTTCCACTCTCTTCCTCCTGATAATTTCTCAGTTCCACAGTCTTTCTGATCATCCCTTTATAATAATTCTATTGTTTAAAAAAAGTTTTTTGGGGGGACCAGCAGACGGTGTAACAGTTACATTGCTGGACTCCCACATGGCTGACTGCAGTTTGAGTCTCAGACAAAGTGACTTGAAACTGACAGCAAGTGCGTGCGTGCCCAAGATCCCAGGAGAATGGAGGAGAAGGCATTATGGTGTGGCCATTCCCCCAGGGGGGTGATTTCTCACTTCCCCTCTCACTGGCTCTGTCTCTGTCTCTCTCTAGTAAGCACACACGCCCTAAGGCAAAAAACTCTTAAAAAAAATGTTTGGGGACCAGTAGTTAGCATAATGGCTATGTTGCTGAACTCCCATGTAGTCAACAGCAGTTCGAGTCTCTGACCCAGTGGCTTAAACCCACGCCGGGCACAAGAGGAGAATGGAGGAGAAGGGATTATAGTGTGGCCATGCCCCCTGGGGAGGTGATTTCTTGCTTTCTGTCTCTCTGTCTCTCTGTCTTTCTGGTGAGCACACGCACCATGTGGCAAAAACCTCTCAAAAAATTTAAAAAAAAAAAAGATTTTTTTGACGGGCCAGCAGGTGGCATGGTGGTTGTTAAGGTGGTGGATTCCCATGAGACCAACCACTACTTGAGTCCCAGACCTGGTGGCTTGCTTTCTTTTCCTCTCTGCTGAGTGCACATGCCCTATAGCAAATTTAAACGTAACAATAACAATAAATAAAATTAAATAAATTATTCTCTTTTTTTTAAGTGAAGAGATTCTGAAATACAAATGATTTTAAAACATCTGAGGCACTGATCAGAAAAAAAAAAAAAATTGTCTTACCACATTTACTAGGAGAGGACCTACCCAAGAAGTAGAAGTACCCACATCCCCATGGTGTTGAGTGCCTATTTTTAACCCCACCGCAGCCCTTCAGTTCTGATGATCACCCATGCAGTAGGAGGGATGGAGTACAACACTTAGCACGCAAAGTACAGGACCTCTCCCCATGAACCTTGAGGGAGGCAGACACCAGCCGACTTCGACCTAAGCCAGGCTCTCTCTACACACTCCGCTCTCTTCCCAGGATGGACTCAATGTATTCTTTCACTTTTCTAACTTGTTTTGAACTGTGATAAAACATACATACTATAAAATTTACCATTTTAACATGTGCAGTTCAGTGTAATTAAGTACATTCCCATTGTTCTGGAACCATCCCTTCTAATCACTCCCAGGACGTCTTACCTTCCCAAGATGAAACTACTCACTGAACAGTAACTCTCCTCCTCCCTCCCCCTGGAAGCCACTGTTCTACCCTCTGTCTCTGTGAATCTGACTAGTCTAGGTACCTAATATAAGTGGGCTCATAGATTAATAGTATTTGGCCTTCTGTGTGTCACATTTAACGTCTTCGATTTTCATTCATGCTGTACAGTGTTGTATCAGAATTTCTTTTTTTTAAAGATTTATTTTATTTTAGTCATTGTCATTATTTTATTTTATTTATTTATTTATTTTTTGAAGTTGACCAGAGAGAGAGAGAAGGAAAGTGAGAAAGCAAGCTGCCAGGTCTGGGACTCAAACCGCAGTCAGCCATGTGGGAGTCTAGCAACCCTAACCACCATGCCACCTGCTGGCCCCAGGATTTCATTCCTTTTTCAGGCTGAAAAATATTCCATCCTGGGTATACATCACATTTTGTGTAGCTATTCACCTGTTGTGTTGTTTCTTTTGCTTTTTTCACGATAGAACATGTGTGTACGCATGTGAAAGGGAGAGAGGAAGACGAAGAGAGATGAATACCCTCCATAGGATCTGGTCACACCGAAATCCCCTTCTTCCAGTCCTCCAACCTGCAGAATCCTGGGGAATCACTCACATGTCCAGTGTTTTGCAGGCTAATCAGGCTGGGGATTTGGACTTCTGTCGACATGTGGGATCTGGTTCTTTAAGCAGCGCCTTACCTCTGTGCCACAGAGGCAGCCCAACTTGTTTCTTAATTTCACAATACAAGATTTACAAGTTGTCCAGCTTTGTTGACACAGGATGCTGAGAGACCAGGGGTTTGAATCCCAGGTCAACCTCAGGGTACTGGGCACTGATATCCTAGCTGGCTGGAAAGCTAGAGGGAAATCACCCCATCGTGAGACCCTGTCAAGTATGCTTCTCTCTCTCTAAAGAAATAAAAATTAAACTTAAAAAAATAAATAAAATACTTGCAAGCAATTCAGATTCAGTTTAATTTATTGAGTACCGGGTAACTCATGTCAGTAGGTATTGTAGGAAGTAGAAAGGTAAATCAGACAAGGTACCTGCTCAGGGGAACCCACCCTGGCCAGGAGAGAAGATAACTAGTCCTGGGTGGTTGTCTACCACTGCTCACAGTGCTGCTCACAGCTCTAGAGACAGAGATGGCAATGCCTTCTTCCCAGGGAGAAAAAGGGGGGTCGAGGCCCTGTGTGACCTCCTCCACAGTGCTGAGCTGGACTCACACTGTGTCTTGGATTCTGAGGCCTGTTCCCTGTGATTCAAGGAAGAATATGATAAATCCAGGGAAGAAGGTACCAGAAGGCAGAAGAGGAAGAGAAGAAAGTCTCACTCTCCCGGGGGTAAGTCACATGGGGAAGGCAGGTCTTAGAGGTCAGAAGCCTCATATTTGGTGGAGATGAAGGGTGGAGGAAACTGCAGGAGCAGAGAAAAGCGCGGGAGGCAGGCAAGTTGGGGCAGACCTAGGGACAGCAGAACTGTGGACCACGAGGCTGGAAGAAGAAAGGGCAAAATCACAGTGGCAATGAAATGCTGGCTTCAGGGGTATGAACTCCACACAGAGACAGCAGTGAACCATTCTGAGAAGAGACACAGTTGGAGCAATCCTTTGGACAGAGCGTCATGGCTATAAGGTATAAGAGAACAATGGGAGCAGTGAATCATAAGGGTAGGAACATCAGTCGGAAGGTCACTGCAGATAGCAGATGAGACAGGAGTAGTCAGAATGAAAAAGAGAATATGGAGTGAGAGATCTCTGAGAGGCAGGAATGAGAGAACTGGGCAGGCATGCATCGTGAACAGGATGACCAGACATCCTGGTTTGCCTGGCTCACATCTTCCTTACCAACAGCACCCCTTTATTCTCTAAAAGGTCCAAATCTGGGCAATAAATCATAAGATGACATTAAGTATGAGCAGTAAGAACTGAGAATGAAAGGAAACCCTGAGATTCTGACCCTGGGTTAGTTAGGAAAGTGGTTAACACCTTCAGAAACACCGGAGGACTGTGGGAAAAGGTCAAGAGTTTGGATCTGGACGTGTTGCGTTTGTCACTGAAGTGGAGATTTATTTAAGAGAGAGAAGCACCTTGCCCACAGATTTACGCTGCTGCACATAAAGAAAGGCATCATTGACCTGAAAAACAAATTTAAAAATACGTTGTCAGACTTGCATATACACATAATTTAACAAACACTTGTTGCTGGTTAAAATAACTAAAGTGTCAAACAGTATCTCTAGTGAACTGTATATAACTATGCAATATGAACTATTGGGTGGTCAGAAAAGGCATGATGTATTTTTGCATAGAAAAACAGAAAATACAACATGATTTTTCTGATGACCCAATAAGTCATCACAACTGTAAAGGAAAATAATAATATTTAAGAACAATGAGCCAGCCACAGAGGTGCATGCTGCTAAGATGCTGTACTCTACAGGTTAAGATCACAGGAGAGGCTTGGGTTCTATTCCTGGTCCAACCTAAAAACCGAGCATGATGGCACGTGCCTGTAATCCCAGCAACTTGCGAGGCTGAGGCAGGAGGAGCACGAGCTTGATGGTGGTCTGGGAAACACGGAGAGACTCAGAAAAAGGGCAAGGTGTGAGGTCATGTGCCTATGATTCAAGTTTCTGAGACCCTTTGGAGGTAGAAGGTAGAGGATTGCAACAGTGAAAACTCTGTCTAAAAAATAAGCTGGGACCAGCAGATGAAGTAATAGTTAAGTCACTGACTCCCATGTAGTCGACCGCGGTTTGAGTCCCAGATAGCAGATGAGACAGGAGTAGTCAGAATGAAAAAGAGAATATGGAGTGAGAGATCTCTGAGAGGCAGGAATGAGAGAACTGGGCAGGCATGCATCGTGAACAGGATGACCAGACATCCTGGTTTGCCTGGCTCACATCTTCCTTACCAACAGCACCCCTTTATTCTCTAAAAGGTCCAAATCTGGGCAATAAATCATAAGATGACATTAAGTATGAGCAGTAAGAACTGAGAATGAAAGGAAACCCTGAGATTCTGACCCTGGGTTAGTTAGGAAAGTGGTTAACACCTTCAGAAACACCGGAGGACTGTGGGAAAAGGTCAAGAGTTTGGATCTGGACGTGTTGCGTTTGTCACTGAAGTGGAGATTTATTTAAGAGAGAGAAGCACCTTGCCCACAGATTTACGCTGCTGCACATAAAGAAAGGCATCATTGACCTGAAAAACAAATTTAAAAATACGTTGTCAGACTTGCATATACACATAATTTAACAAACACTTGTTGCTGGTTAAAATAACTAAAGTGTCAAACAGTATCTCTAGTGAACTGTATATAACTATGCAATATGAACTATTGGGTGGTCAGAAAAGGCATGATGTATTTTTGCATAGAAAAACAGAAAATACAACATGATTTTTCTGATGACCCAATAAGTCATCACAACTGTAAAGGAAAATAATAATATTTAAGAACAATGAGCCAGCCACAGAGGTGCATGCTGCTAAGATGCTGTACTCTACAGGTTAAGATCACAGGAGAGGCTTGGGTTCTATTCCTGGTCCAACCTAAAAACCGAGCATGATGGCACGTGCCTGTAATCCCAGCAACTTGCGAGGCTGAGGCAGGAGGAGCACGAGCTTGATGGTGGTCTGGGAAACACGGAGAGACTCAGAAAAAGGGCAAGGTGTGAGGTCATGTGCCTATGATTCAAGTTTCTGAGACCCTTTGGAGGTAGAAGGTAGAGGATTGCAACAGTGAAAACTCTGTCTAAAAAATAAGCTGGGACCAGCAGATGAAGTAATAGTTAAGTCACTGACTCCCATGTAGTCGACCGCGGTTTGAGTCCCAGACGCAATGGCTTAAAACTCACTCCAGGCATGTGTGCATATGTGCCCAAACTCCCAAGAGGAAAATGGAGGATAAAAGATTGTGGCATGGCCATCTCCCCTCGGGGGGGGAGGGGGGGGAGGTGATTTCTCGCTTTCTGTCTCTCTCTCTCTCTCTCTGGCAAGTGCATGTGACCTATGGCAAAAATTGCTCTTAAAAATAATAATAATAATAACCCAACCTCAGTATGTCTCAATGCCTAAACCTATTATTTCCAATGTTGTCATTAAATGACAGTAGGAAAAAAGTTCCCAGGCCTGTCCATACTCTATTGTAATGATTCTGTGTGTTCCAGCCTGTTGAAGAATGGAATCTCTGGCAGAAAAATCAATAATTTTTTTCAACTTTTATCTTTTTATTAAAATTGTCCTATTCCCTGTATAAATGGAATTGTAATCTAAAGTCATTTTTCAGAAGAACAAGGTTATAAAACATAAATTAAAAAGTAGCTATAGTATTCAAGGCAGTATGGTATCAGTGAAAAAACAGACAAATAGATCAATGAAACAGAAAAGACAGCCCCAAAAAAAGATTCACACAAATACAGTCAATTGATCAAGAAGCAAAAGCAATGAGGAAGGGACAGCTTTTCAAAGAAACGGTGCTGAAAAAACTGGATATCCACACGCCAGAAAATAAATCTAGATATAGGCTGTACACCTTCATGAAAATAACCCCAAAATGGATCATTCACCTGAGTATAAAATGCAAAACTACAAAATTTCCAGAATAAAACTTAAGAAAAAAATCTAGATCACCTTGGATTTGGCAATGACTTTTTAGATATAACACCGAAAACACAGTCTACAAGAAAAAAACGGTAACTTGACTTCATTAAAATTAAAAATTTGGGGCCAGCACATGGTATAGTGGTTAAGGTGGTGGACTCCCAAATGGTGGTCTGCAGTTCAAGTCCCAGATCCAGCAGCTTGAAACTCACCAGGAGCATGAGTGTGCGTGCCCAAAAAGCCCAAGAGGACAATGGAGGAGAAGGGATAGCAGTGTGGTCACCCCCTCCAGGGGGTCGTTTCTTGCTTTCTGTCTCTTTGTCTGTCTGGCAAGTACACGCACCCTATAACAAAAATCTCTCAAAAAAAAAAAATTAAAACGTCAAGCCAGCCAGTGGCATGGTGGTTAAGATGGCTAGATCCCACATGGCCAAGTGCATGGTTCAAGTACCAGACCCCCAAGGCTTGGAAAACATGCCAGGCCCATAACCATGCCCAAAATTCCAATAGGAGGGGGAGAGAGAGAAGGAAATGAGTGTGACCATGCACACTTTAGGGTGCTTTCTCACTTTATCTCTTTCTCTCCCAACTCCCTCTGTCTCTCTCTGGTGAGCATACACACCCTGTGACAAAATTAGAAGAAAAATATTAATATCTTCTTGGCCAGCTGCATTGATACAGCAGTAGCCCAATGCCCGGGAATGCTGAATGCACTGAGAAGGTAATGGGTTCATGTTCCAGGGTCTTCCTCCATGTGCTGGTACCCGTGATCCTAGCTGGTGGAGGCTGGGGGTGAACCACAGAGAAAACCCTGTTGAGGGTAGCTGTCTCTCTTTCTTTCTCTCTCTCTTTCTCTCTCTCTTTCAAGGAATTGATAAACAACCTTTAAAAATATTAAAACTTCTATTCCTCAGAAGACACTGTTAAAAGAGTAAAATTAAATTAAAAAATAAAAAAGCCACAGCCTGTAAAAAAATCTTGGCAAAACACACATCTGATAAGGGGCTTGTATCTAAAATATTCAGAGGATTCTTAAAACTCAACATTAAAAAACAATCCAATTAAAAAGCAGGCAAAAGATCTGAATAGTCACCAAAAAAGATAAATGGATGGGAAATAAGCACATGAAAAGATGTTCAACCTCATTTATCATTAGAGAGTTGCAAATTAAAATGAGATATCACTACACATGCCCTTAGAATGGCTAAAATCCAAAACGCTAATGCCAAATGCTGGGGGACATGAAGCGATAGGAACTCTCGTTCCTTGCTAGTGGGAATACACAATGGTACAGCCACTTGGAAGACAGTTTTGTGGTTTCTTACAAAACTAAACATCTTCTAACCATAAAATCTAGCAATTGCACTCCTAGGTATTTACCCAAATGAATTGGAAACATATGTCCACACAAAAACCTGCACATAAATGTTTACAGCAGCTTTATTTGCAACTTCCAAAACTTGGAAGCAATCACAAGGTCCTTCAATAAGTGAATGAATAAACAAACTGATATATCCAGAGTATGGAATGCCATTCAATGATAAGAAGAAATGAGCTATCAAGCCATGAAAAGACATGAAAGCATGTTAAATGCATGTTGCTAAGTGAAAGAAGCCAGTCTGGAGAGATGACATTTGGTACAGTTCCAACCACATGTCATTCTGAGAAAGGGAAACTAGAGTTGGGAAAAGATCAATGGGTGCCAGGATTCAAGGGGTGGAGGTAAGGAGGCATACATGGAGGCCAGGGGGATTTTTAGAGCAATGAAGCTATTCTGTGTGGTACTTAATGGTGGACACATGACGTGCATTTAGCAAAACCCAGAGAACTGTGTGTAACACAAAAAGTGAGCCTTCATGTGTAAACTATGGACATTAGTTAACGATGTATCAATATTAGTTCATACCACACCAATGGGAGAGGTTAACAAACTGAACCCATGATTCAGGACTGGCTAAAGGGTAGGAGTGGATTGTAATGTCAAGTCCCTGTGAGTGCTGTCTTCTGTCTCTTGTAGAAGAAATAAATTAATAAAAAAAAAATAAATTGGCCAGAGTTTTTGAGGAACTAACGAGTTTATTCTAGAATAATCTAAAAGGATAAAGATCTACAAATAGCTAAGTCAAATTCAAATACGAACAAAGGTTGAAGAGTTACCTTTGCAGAGACCAGCAGTTAGCATAATGGCTATGTCGCTGGACTCCCATGTAGTCGACCACGGTTCGCGTCCCGCACCCGGTGGAAAAAAAAGAATTACCTTTGCATATATTAAAACATACTACAAAGCTATAAACATAAAAACTGTATCAATAAAATAAATATGTGAGCCAAGGAAACAGACTAGAAAGCAGACAAATATAGACCCTGGAACTTAAAATAAAGATGAAGGTAGCACCACCAATCAACAGAAAAATAGTGGACTATATAGTGCTAGGAAAACTAACTCACTATAAAGAGAAGAAAAGAACATTGGCTTCCCAGATTATACCCATTACAAGGATGACTTCAGATGGATTAAATCCTTCAATGGGAAATGAAACCATAAAGTTAAAAGAGATAATCATTGTGACCCAGGAGTAATAAAAGACTTCCAAAACAAGTCCCCTGTCACATAACCATAAGGTAAAATATTTCTGTGTAACTACACTAAATCTAAACAAAGGTGATAGAAACACGACAAACTTACAAGGAGACTTTTGCTAAGTCTCTAACACCGAGAATCTTGTAACTCAAAGGGTGGTTCAAGGACCACCAGCTTCCATTGTCACCTGGGAGCTTATTAGAATCACACAGTCTTGAGCCCCATCTGAGTCATATAATCTCAGTCAGATCCCTCGGGTAATTTGCATACACATCAAAGTTTGAGGAGCACAGATTACACAAGGCGCTTTTGCAAATCAGTGAGAAAGAGACAGGAAGCCAAAGTGACAACAGCAGAAGCAAGGGGCTCAAACTGTGACTCAAAGAACTGCAAACCTGAATGGCCAACGAATACATATAGGGGTGCTTAAATTCAGTAGAAGTCAGGGAAATTCGAATGAAAAAATGAAACGATGCCACTTTATGCCTTATCAACTTGGCAAAAATCAAAAAGTTGGACACTGCTACATATCAACAAGAGTTCTCACACACTGCTGGTAGGGCCATCCCCTAATCAAGTTATTCTAGAAGACAACTGGTAGTCATATTAAAACAACTGGTAGTCATATTAAGTATGCATATATCCTGTGACCCAATGATCCCATTCCTGTGAAAACAGCCCCAAAGCAACATTCACAAAGTCCCTAAAGTGACACATACTGACCATGGTGACAAGAAATCAGGTCAATCTAGAGGCGTATCACTAGGCCACGAGGTTGTGAAGGATGGTGGTGCACGCTGCCCTAGTATGCGGCCGTAGGAAGCAGAGAACCAGACATCAGAACGGCAATGCTGACGGGTCTTATAAAGACAGCACTGGCGGCCAGACTGTGGTACAGCAGTAGCACCATGCTCTATGAGGTTGCGGCACATGGGAAGGTTCCCAGTTCAGATCCCAAGACCTTCCTAAGTACACCTATGTGTGTCATGATCCAGGTCTGCCTAAAGCAGGTAGTGAAACA